ATCAATTTTGATTACGTTTTTGCACTGTGAATAGGTACTTAATATTTCGCCAAGGTTAGTATTCCTCCTTCCATTGTGAAATTTTGGGTAATCTACTAATATGTGATTCACAGTAATTGGGTTCTTGCACTGTTCATATTCTGGTCTTGCACTTAAGGAAAATGGTGATATAGAGGAAGTATACCCTAAAGTAACTTTTTCTTAGTGTCTTAAAATCGTGATATAAATATTTGTTGTGCAAGAAAGTGTTTTATTTTTCTTTTAACCTATAGTTTAACTCTTTTGAATGTAATACTTGCCGTCATTTAATACTTTTAAAGTTCTTGTTAGTGAAGATTTGTAATCAAAGTCCAAAAGCATGGTCGGAGACAATTGTAACAACCGCAGTCGGGGTCGAATGTAACGCTACGTTCGAGCGGAAAATGAAGAACAACAGAGAAAAAATGTGAACAAGATTTTCTAAAAGATGTTGAACTGTATAACTCGCTATAACTACCTAATACTTTTTATACTGTACGATTACCTACAAATGTAACAGTGGTCGCTAATAACCACGACCCTAAACAATTAAATTAAATTAAATTAAATTAAGAAGGCATATAATTCGAATAGAAAAGACAAAACGGTACATATTAATATGAACTTTCCCCTAAACTCTAATCAATGGCGCAGCTTCATTCAAGGCATTACTAAATTCAAATTACAGTAAATAGTATTTCAGTACAGTTACTAGAGGTGTTCGAGCACTCGAATTTCGAGTCAAACAATGATCGGTCGGTCGAGCCGAGTCGAGCGCTTGAATTTGCCGAATTACTCGAAATCGACGAACTGCTTGAAACAAAAGCGAGCTACTAGAAAAAATCGAACTACTCGAATATTCGAGCTGAAAATTCATCTTCAAATAAATCGAAGTTATATTCGAGTAGCTCGCTTTTATTTCAAACAGTTCGTCGATTTCGAGTAATTCGGCAAAATTCAAGCGCTCGACTCGGCTCGAACAATTGAAGCGAGTTTAGCTCGGTTTGTAAATTACGAGTACTCGCACACCTCTAAAGCCTTGTCTACACTCGTAGACAAAATCGTGCGACTGTCTATAGATAAATCGAGAACTTTGTCTATAGACAGTCGCGAATAATTTGCAACACAGTCGATCGACTTTGTCACACGTCCACATCTACAGTTAGTCGCCATAACACCATGAGTTCAGACGTTGCTGTCTGTGGTGTCGCTGTCATTTGTTTCTGTCTATGAACACGTCTCCACTACGAGATGTAGCGCAATTTGTCTCGTTTTCCATTCAAGATGGAAGACAATATACTTGCGATTTTCGTCTATGGAACAATCATAGACACCCGCTTTGTTCTCCATTTGTCTATAGACAGTTGCGGAATATTGTCTATAGACACGAGTTCCGCGATTTTGGCTACGAGTGTAGTCAAGGCATAACAGTTACTATAAACTGATCGTAGAAAGCATCATGGAACATATACAAAAAAAGTGTATCATAAAAAAAATATATGTATGTACATAACATTTAATACATTCATTTATCAGTCGTTAATATAAAATAATTAAAACATGTGGAACATGAAAAATATGCATCTGCATGAATATCTATAGTTTAGTCTTACAGTCACAAAGAAACAATTTCTTCATCGTGAACATTAAATAAATTGATGAAGAAAAGGAAAGAAAACGAAAAGGCAACCCACTTTTGAGTAACGCGATGAAACGGACACAGTAATTAACGAAAAGAACGAGAGTCGAGACGTGTGCTTATTAGGTCGCCGATCGACGGGTCGAAGTCGTTTCAGCTGCTCTCTTTTTATTATACGCGGTACACGAGCGTACACGTTCCATACACGACCAGGCAAACACACATCTTTCGACGTTACAGTCACGTGTGAGCAAACACGAGAAGCAAATGATTGGGCGTACGGTTCTCCGAGTATAAATGGTAAAAAGAAGCGGAGGGGACGAATTGCTTGTTTCAATAAAGCGTCATGCGAGCAACGAGTGATTTGTGTTTGAATGAAAATTACATTCGATACTTGTACAGATGCCCGTGCAAATGATACGGATGGACATCTGCCAGCGGCGAGTATAATATTGACCGATCATATTTTTCTCGTTGATCGAGGACAAAAATTTGTTTAAAAACTACATCATCTTGGTAGAGGAGTCATAGTATGGTTGGGAAGATTGCAACTGTAGGAAAAGATATTGTGCACTCGCGACCACATCAGGATTCCCTGGGAAATGTGGCGATATAGGGGAAGCAAAAGTTCTTAAAATTTTTATCTCGACGATATTAGTATTTTAATTTAATTTAATTTAATTTAATTGTTTAGGGTCGCATACACCTTTGTGGTTATTAGCGACCACTGTTACATTTGTGGGTAATCAAAGTATTAGGTAGCCAGTTCAACGTCTTTTAGAAAAGTTCGAGTCTTTTCCTTTATTATTGAGATGAATTTTTGATCAATTGGTCAACATTGATTTACACGTAAATTTTAAAGACAAATTTTGAATGAAATTCAAGTGGTATATGCAAAAATGTATAAAGAATCTAATTAGAACATTTATGCAAAAAAAGAGGCCCTTCTTGTACCCAACAGTACAAATGCACTGGAGACGGAGTTGCTATTCTATTAATTGAATGTTATTTCCTCGGTGTACTCGTTTCCCATTTGATAGAGATTTTAATGGACGATAAGCTGACTCATTTAATCGGCTCGCTTGAGAGCTTGTTGCTCTTGAAGTTTATGGTTTTCGTGATTACGCGATACTGCAGCATATTAAGTTTCCAATGACAGGTATCTTGGGATTTTTCTGCGTTAACGATCAAGTACGCTGAACGCGATCGTTTCTCTCTGCTGTGCCATTTTTCGGTTTATATTTCAACGACCATTTTACGAACAGGAAAAATTCGAACGCAGTGGAGCTTTTGCAGAAATATGCAATCGATCTTCAAATTAGTTTTTAATATTTTGGTTGCCACGTTGAAACATGAAAGTGTCGCGAGGTAGGATTTTTGCCTTTTAGAAATTTTGTTTATTATTTTCAAAATATTTTGCTATTTCGATTATCCATCATTTTAAATATGTACATAATTCAAATATTCTAAATTAAGTAAACAAAAAAGAATTCCTAATAATATGGGCGATGGGTCCAGTGCCGGTTTTAGCAATATTGGCGCCCTGGGCAAGATTATCGTGGCGCCCATTCAGGGGCTCAAAATTTTTAAGAAAAAAAGACAAGGTAATAATATGAAACGATGAATCTGTAGTTAGATTGTAAAAATTGTTAAACTAGACAGCAGCTTTACTAATCTAAACGAATACAAATGAATAAATACTAGGGATACCGAGCTGCGGCGCGCCCTACAGATCTAGCACCCTGGATAATTGCTCGACCAAACCCCCCCCCCCCCCCCCCCCCCCCCCCCCCTCCCAACGTTGGCCCTGGATGGATCTCTATGAAAATTCAAGTGTCACCTCAGAATAATTGGAAACACACAATCCACGTGATAAACTGCATTAACGAAACATATATTTGATCTTTTACCCATATTATAAACATATTAAATTGTGAAACATATTTTAATACATTATTTGTAAAAATATTAAATATTGAAAGAGATAATAATTCCATCAACATTAAGACGTAAGCACATGAACATGGATTCAATGGTATAGTTAGATAGCCAGGCCTCCTAAAACTGTGGATTGGTCCCCTCACCATCCTAACATTTTAAGATTCTAAGGTTCGAAATCTACAAAATTTTAACATTTAAAAATTTCAAATTGCCAAAATTTCAGGATTCTAAAATTTCAAAGTTTCCGATGTTCAAACCTTTTAAGGAATTTGGCCCATCCCAATAAAAATCTTGGTTACGCCAATGTATGGAGCCAAATTACAGTATTCAAATTTTGACACTAATATCATTTAAAATGTCTGGGGAACACTTGCGAACGGAATTTTTAAAAACAAGGAAATATATACGCCACTTAAAAAATTTAGAGCAACCTTATAGCGTAGGGGGAATTTGATCAAAATTTAATTGAATATCTTAGGAGCATGAAAACCCTATATTTTCCAAGTTGATTAATTATAACGGAGTAGCAATTATATTGTGAAAAATTAATGAAGCTAAAAGATACGTTATTTAAGAGGTTGGATCCATTATTTAGAGATTATACTGTGGCTTAGAATATAACAAAAAAACATTTTTTTTAATACAAATAAAAATCTTAATCTTTCGTCATACGTAAACGATTCAAGCAATATAAATAATTTATATAGGTACAAAGTATATAAAAAGTTATTTTTTACATACTTATGTTATGAACATTGATATCTATATCTATTCTAATGATATTATAAAAATTATACATAGTTATATTATAAAACTCCAATTAATTTCTATTATATTAGAAATTTTAACTTTCAGAACAAAAAGGGTTCAATCATTTAATTACAATTTGTTATGTGGCAATTTTTATACTATAACAATGAAACAATGTAAATAAAAAACAGTAGAAAATGTATATAAATTGATTTGTAACGAACTGTAGGACTTGTGTTTAACTAAAGTAAACGATGGGAAAAGCAATTTAAAATATAAAACAGCACTTGATAACAACATTTTATTCAATAAATACATGAAACAAAAGACAAATACCTAATGTGTTAAGGAAAATAAAAAAAATGTGTTTTTTTTTCTTTTAGTAATTGACATTTATATAATTGACGAATATATCATATAACCGCAACCAAAACATGTTAAATGAACCATTTGAAGGTGAATAAACCATGATAAAAAAGAAAATGTAAAAAAAGTTCCAGGTGTACCTCTTTTAATATAAATGTAATTACTTTGCATTCAGTTTACAGTGTACCTACTTTTATGTTCATAATAATTGTAATACTGTAAAACTGTAAATTTGTATAATCTTTTAACAGAATATGCCTAGATAATAAAAAAAACTAAAGACGAACTATAAAAACCAAAACCATAAAATTTTTTATTTTCATCCAAAAGTTATGTTGTAAAACATTAAAATAGTAATTTCAAACTACGAGAAGAACATAGGAGATACCAGATTAACGTTCTTCATGGAAGATTATACAAAAAGAGACAATGTAACGAAGAATGTTACATGTTCGATGGTGTGACACCTTTGGTGACAATAAAAACGCATTCGTCCATGGGAAAGAAAAATCTGGACGGTGCGAGGCACGACCCATGTGCGCCATCGGGCGAACTGGTTGCGCGAAGTTTTTTGGTCGGCTCAAAAATAGATAAAAATGTGCAAATAAATGCCGGTCGTGGCTCAGGGACAACCGGTTGCCATCTTGCTTTCTTATATAAGTTCCTCCTTGGTCTTAAAGACGTTCCATCGCCGTACACTCGCTAACATTTGACTTGCCTTCGCGTCTTCTCTTCTCCCTCCATTTTCTCTTTCGAACGCTTCTTCTTTTCTTGCTTTCTCTTTCTTTTCTTACTTCAAACCATATAGTTAGTAACTTTTCCCTCCTCCTTTCTCTCTTTTATGTTTTCTTCTTCGCTGTCTCTTTTCCTCCCTAAAGCAAACAACACATGCTACCTAATTTTCTTTCTCTTCTTCGAACAATCAGAGTTGTAGCTATTTTCTTTTATTAAATTTTTAAGTTGTTTATTTTTTCTGATTTTATACAGAGTCTTGGTAACAACCCTGCTGCAGCGAAGCTTGGGTCAGTTGTAACCCAACCTTATAAAAAATATACAACGTTATTAACCTGAAGTTAAATGTATCATTTTTAAACAAAATAGCTTCATATACTGGAAGAGCAATTTTTAAAGCAGCAATGTTAAATTTAAAATACGAAAATAATATGCAAAGTAAAATTAAATTGAAAATGGGGCTCTCTCCATGGTCCGCCGTTCGAGGGTTAATAAATTAACAGTCTACTTTATGCTTCAGCCTTTATTAATGTTACATTCCTGCACATAGAATTTACAATACAGGTAATACAATTTTGTGAAAGCACGATTATTAAAGTAATAAACTGAATTTTATAACTCTGAATCATTCTTACATTTTATATTTTTATAATGGTAAACTTTGTTTGAAAGTGTCACATTAATAAAGCTTAAAGAGGACCACCATGCTGGTGGTTGAACCGATGTTTAATAAAGTATAGTGCGTTATTTATCAATACCCACGTTATTTATAATAAGTTGCAAAAAAAAAAATAGACAATTTTAAAACTTAATTATATGATCAAATTATAAAAGTCGTCTACATAATTGACTTCACTGATATTATTTAACTGTATTTTTTATAATTGTATAAGTTAAGTGATTATAAAAAATTACAATATTACTTACAAGATTACAACAAGGAAAATTGTTAACAAGAAATTATCCAGTGTGAAAGCCTTCATGTTTTGATTTTTATTTCTACACATAAACGAAAAGATATTTTTTATACTGTGGTTCTAATAATTTGATCATCCACTGTATCTACCCAATTTTAATTTTTTTTTCTTGAACCTTTCCCTTTTTATCTTCTTACCTCTTGATATATGCAGAGGATAACCTGCTCGTTTTGTTTCCCCCTGCATCTCTCTTCGCTGACGTCAACCGTTGCAGCGGATAACCTTTTTTTCTCTTTTGGTTTCTTTTTATTCGAATTCTTTCCTTGCGGCTGCTTTGTTATCTCTATGACATGAAACAGATTTTTTGTTTGATATTTCGTGAAGTAAAAAATTGAATCACTGTTATATTTTAACAAATCTTAAAAATTAGTACCTTTTCTTTTTTTATCTTACAATTAAATGAATAGCTTTAATATTGGAAGGAAGAACAACACCTCATGTACCTACCTCATGTACCTACACTACCTTACATGTACACTACTTACATGTACCTCTTTAGCAATGTGTTGACCGTTGCTGTGATCACTTTAGGTTTTATTGTCATTGACGTTACGAGGATCTTTTTGGAACGGGCCAGGTTACTTAGAAATATGATATTCTGGAAGTTTAGAACATTAGAATTTTTGAATCTTATAATTTCTGAATTGTAAGAATTTGGAATTTTTGCGAGTTCTGAAATTTCTAAATCTTTAAATTTTGAACTTCTAAAATTTGAAATTGTGGAAATTTGGAATCTGAAGTTCAGGAATTTCGGAATCGTAGAATCTTGAAATTTTGGAATTTTGGAATCTTGGAAATCTAGGATTTTGGAGTCTATAAATTTTGTAAATCTGAAATGTTGGAGTTCTGAAGTTCTAGAATTCCTGTTGGGGAATGTCCTGTTTGGGGGGGGGGGGGGGGGGGGGGGGGCGAGGGATAATAATGAATTATTTAAAAGAAATTTCTATCAATCTTTTAGGGCAGTTCCCATTGGATGCTGATTTTTTATCCACTAAGAATATCTGTGAGCTGTACTAAAACTAAAAATATTTTAATCAATGTCAAAAATTATCGTGCAACTACAACTGATCGTAAAAAAGAAATGTTATTAATGTTCTCGATCGAAGAATGCATGAAATTTACATCTTTATTGCTTAATTAATTAGGCAAAATGTTAACAGGCAGTGGCTCCATCAGGTTTCTTTAAAATTTTGTAATTTTCAACTTCTAAAATTGAGAAATTGTGGAATTTGTGAATTTCGAACTTCTGAAATTTTCCAATGTTCAAGTTTCAGAGTTTTGGCGATTTGAAATTTAAAAATTCTGGAGTTTTAGAAATTTCGAATTCTGGAATTTGGTATTTTAGCATGGTGAGGAAGTCGGATTATATTCTTGGAGAAGGTCCAATTTACATTTTTAGGGAGCCAAGCCGTCCCTACCTAATTATGCCAATGCGTATATGTAAAGATTGCAAAATTTTTTTCATTAAAATGCGGAAGAAAAAAAAAATAGCAGATACCATCAACAACAATAACCTGGTTAAAAATAAACTTATACTTTTAGTCAACAACTTGGCCCAAAACTTTTGAATTCAGAACAAAAATGATTAGTTAAATTGTTAAATATAATGTTAAAAATAAATAAAAATGTCATTTGCATTCCTTTGATCTTACATACCTCATATGTTTGAGAATGATTCTGTAGTGTTTCCTAAAATGAAACATTTTTCATTACAAAAATATAACGTTGGTTAAATTTTGCGTTGTTTATTTATTTTTGTTACATACTGTATTTTTCAATCATTCATCATAGGTTATGCAATGAACGGTTTCATTTTTCTCTTTATCTATCAAAGAACACAAAACACACTTTGTTTCGCTTTATCAGAAGAGTACATACGAACTTTTCTTCACTCTTTCCTAGTTTAATCTACCCTCAAAACCTACCGTAAACAATTTCCTTTTCTACCACTTTCTCTCTGTTTTAGATTGTAAATTATATTGTAACGTTTCATCCTTCATTGTACTTTTCTTTTTGAAGTTCTATTTGTTTTTATTCCCCCAGTTCCAGTTTTACATTTCTTTCTTTTCTACTTTGAAAATATATTCCCAACGATTTTTCTTCGCAATGTCCGTTCTTCTTCTTTTTTCTTCTTCTTCGTTCTGCTCGTAGAATATACAAGTAATCTTTCTTTTGTTTTCAGAATGTTTCAATTTTCCTCCTTACTCAGTTAACTTTAGAGCGTACAGTGTACTATAAAATTTTACGTTCATTTCAAATTTTGAGGTTTTAATATAGTTAAAAAAAATCTTTGAGTTATAGAAAGTTTTAGCTTAGCGAGTAGCATAAGAGAAATGCAACAAATGGAAAATCTACTTATACAGACTTTGTACGACGGTTTCGACTTGGGGAGGTGTAAAAGAAGACAAATTCAAATTTTGAAGGTCAATTGTTTATGGTACACCTGTAACCAAATATGCAATTTATGTATCATATATGTACCTCCATGAGTAAACATAATTATAAGACAAGTCTTATACTCGGAATATTATTCTTTATGGCTGTGTTTCCGAATGGCCCCACCAAAATTGAGAACTCAGGTTCGGTATATAACCTAAATTGACTACCAGAAACTGATTAAAATTGGTTTCAAAGCTGAATGTCTTACCGTTTTTGAGATATCGTGGTAAGAAATTTTTGTACAATTTTGGGACTACGTATGCGCTATTCGATACTGAGCATGCGCTATTTAATACTGCGCATGCGCTATTCAATACTGCGCATGCGCTATTCGATACTGAACATATGCGATACATATCACGAACATATAACGATATCTCGAAAACGGTAAGACTAGCTCTAGTAAGACTAAATCTAGCTCTGAAACCAATTTTAATCGATTTCTGGTAGTCAATTTAGGTTGTATACCGAACCAGAATTTTCAATTTTGGTGGGGCCATTCGGAAACATCCCTCTTTATTATTAAAAAAGGCTGAGATTTTTCTTCCTAATGGTATTTTAGCGTATTGCAAATCAAGTAAACTTCAACTTGTAGAGGTTGGAGTTTTCCTGAATTCGAGTTGTAGAGGTAAAATGCACATTAAACATGCGACAAATAATTTGAGTTAATGGAAGTTTTATTTTGAGTTGTAGAGGTGTTTGCAATGAAACCAAAGGGAATAGAGAAAATTTTCGTCTTGTAGGGATTTTCGAGTTATTGAAGTTCTTCTATAATTTCGAGTGAATCCGAAACATTGTAAGTATTCTCGTATATTTTGGAGTAGTGAAAAAGAGCAGACCTTCAATATGATGTAGAATGCAAATATATTCAAAAATCAATAAAATTACAAGTCCGCTTCATTTTAATTATGTTAATTAAAAATTTGGGTGTTTACTTCAATGTCCGAAAAGGTCACTACTCCTATTTATATCATTGTTTTTTATCAAAGGTGATTTTTTCAAATTAACCAATAAACTTTTGCTAATTAAATCGTCCTGGAAAATTGTCCTTCCTGAACGAATCGATCTGCTCCCAGTTAATTTTTATTTTCACTACACTGCGATTACACGTTTCTAAAGAAACAAACGAACGCAGCAGCATTTAAAAACAAAAAAAGGAAAAGGAACGATCGATGGGACAAGCATGCCTGAAAATGTAACCGAGTTGAGATCCGATACCGGGGAGATGCGGGAAAGAGAAAAAATAAGCTTAAAGAGGAGGATAAATGAAACCAAAAGAAGAGAATGTCGATGATGAAAAAGAGAAACGAAAGTCGTTGTTGGAAAGAAGAGAGGAGATATAATATAATCGCAGGAAAAAAGACGAATTTAAAAGAAATAAAAGAAGAAGAAAAACGAAAACAAAAAAAGAAAAGGGAACTATTTATTTCATAATGCTCAACAAACTTTTAATATTTTAGGATGGGAGATGTTTATATAGAAAACCTATATTAAATGTTAATATTTCCATATACAAGGCTTTTGACTAGTAAAGATTAAATTAATTTAATATTTTAGTTATGATAATTTAAAATGTTTTCATTAACCAAGGTTTAATATCAACATATAAGTTGTTACATTTAACAATTATCAAAGTATAATCATTATTTTTTAAATTACGTTTCTAAACATATTAAAAAAGTAATATGAACAATTAAAGCAATAAACAAGTAAATATTTTATTATTTATTCAATAAAAGGCCTCAGGTGTCTCCTAAGGGTATAATGTCAGATACATTACAAAAAAACATAATATTAAATCAGGGTTAAAAATTACATTGATGATATAAGAATAATAAAAAGATCAAGCTCATCCAGCATTAATTTTAACAATTACAATTCTAGTTACAATTAAATTGTGCAATTTTTATTCGGCATACATAAATAACTGTTATTTGAATTCTTGTAATTTTACGTTAAATCTTTATTAAGTTCATTAGAATTTCGAAGTTATTAAAATTTAGAAACTTGATTTGCTAATTAAGGGAAGGCTGCAGTAATTGGACTGTCGCCTACGTTGAACTACTACTTAAAATATATTCGTACATGCAATTTCAGCTTTATGATAAGCGGAATAAGTTTCCTACATTTAAAGTTGGCTGATGCAATCGCTGCTATTTTTTAGTGAGTGTTAGGTGGATACGGTCAGTGCGCTTATTGGCGTAACTATGTAGCTACATAGTGCAACACTTTTTATGCAGAAATAAATATTTGGACCAAACTGCAATATGCAATACAACTACAATAAATCCTTGAACAGGATTAAATACAATACATATACAAAGATATTAACACGATATTAACCACAGTCCATTACTATTTTTCAAATTTCTGTAAAATATACTTTTTTTAGACAGCATAAAAATCTAGTAAATGAGCATATAAATTTAGTTCTTCAATGTGTCACAAACATGTAATGCTGGGCCATATGCAGAGATAACATAAAAATTGATTGTCGTCGCACATGTGTGACGCTGGGCTCTCAATGGAAATCGGGACATCACAAATTGTATATGACACTGGTAGCGAAAGTGTTAACCTAAAGTTGAATGTATAATTTTTAAACGAAAGAGTTTCATATGCTGGGACTCCAAAGGTCGGAAGGATACCAGTGGCCCACGCAGGGGAGAGGTTTTAGTGGGTAGGGTACCACTCCGAATTTTTTGGCGTGATTGGTGCGAGCCCAGGTCCTCCCCTATCTGAATAGCACGAAAGAGCTGGCTTGCGAGTGCGTAAATGTATTCCTCTTCCATAAATTAAAAAAAGAGTTTTATATGCTGGAATAATAATTTGAAAAAAAAAAACAAAAAAACAATGCAATATTTAGAAAACCAAAATAGTATGAAATTCCGAGTTTAAATTAATATTGGGGCTTTCTTCATGGTCTGCCATCCGAGGGTTAAAAGTATACAGTAATGTAAAATTCTTATAAGAGAAGAGGGATATACATGGTGTCCTATATCGTTGGGAAAAGCTACAGTTTTAAAAGATTTTTGAAATCTTTGAAATACCCCCCCACTTCTGGTGCTAACACATGAATCGCGCAGTGTTCCATTCGACGCCACTTAATTTTTTGTCCTGACAATTTGCTCTATCTTTTACCATTTTAAAGTTGTAGCTTATTTCATATGTGTGGGACATCCTGTATAGTCCTGGACATATATTCTAATAGCGTTCAACGAGAAAGATTCAAAAATGCAAATTTTTATTTTAGGATTCATCCGTTCAAAAGTTATATGTATGTAAAACTGAACATTTTTGAGGTTATTTTGACGCCATGTTGGCTTTTATGCACGTAGGTCGCTTTTATCTTGGCGGGAAAACTAAAATGTTTATCAAAATGTGCTTCGTATTTATTGGGTCAAATTAGGTTAGTTATTTCACAAAATTTTGATAGAGAACAATATGGCGTTAAACTAACCTCCAAAATACACTAAAAACGTTCAGTTTTACATACATATGCATAACTTTTTAACGGATGGATTCCTAAAGTTAAGATTAGTATTTTTAAATTTTCCTTGTCAAATGGCATCAGAATATAGGAAACAAGATTACTAATTTTATGAGCCTCAAAATAAAGTTCAATCAAATTTGAAGATAAAACCCTCAAATATAATTCTATAAATAATTTTCTATTAGGTATAAAAAGCAATCTAAGATTGCAAAAGTCATAATTCCAAAGTGTTAAGACAATATTGCATGTAATATCAATTTATTAAATGTGCTCAAACGAAATATTAGCAATCTATGGGTGTGTGTAAACAGGTGTTCACGAAATCATAAATTTTATTTCCACAATTTATATCACCATCGTCGACAAGTAATTAAAAAAAAAAAACTGAAGAAGAAATTCATGTTAAAGTTGTGTGAAGATCACTGGCAAGAACGATGACGACGAAGTTAGGATAAGCGAGATAAAGATATTGAGAAGGGTGAATGAACGCGTGACATAATAAAACGTGTCTTGACGTTTGCATCATTCGATCGCACTTGTACCAAAGACATTTTCCGAGCTGCAACTCCAAGAGATTATCACTTTCGTTACGTACGCGCTAGATAATAATTATATAAAACTCGCGAATTCGTTATTTATTAATGAGATATAACTTCACTAAGACAAAGCTGCATAAAATTTAGAAAAAAAATATTTAAAATGATATTTCAATTATTAGATGCTATAAGACTTAAATAAAATAATATTTTTAATGAAAATCGAAAATTTTAAGAATAAAATAATTTTATCTTATATGTCTGGTTATTAAATAAAGTTATTTTACTCGATGAAATTGCGCGTCCTATTTAAAATATTATTTTATTTGAATTTTATATTTTATTATTTTCAACATTTTTTAATAATAAAAGTAAATTGAGGAAATGAAATGATATTATAACTCAAAAAATCGTAACACATGTATGCCAAAGTAAACTTACTTTTAATTTTTATTTTGCAGTAATATTATTATAAGCAACATCGTCTATTAGTTTCTTCAGCATGAAGATAAAATATCTGAGCAACTGTGAAAATAAAATATATTGTTAGAATCCTTTTAAAATGATAATTTAAAAACATATTCCAATAAATGGATTATGTATTTTGTTTACAAATCATACGCGTGATTTTAAATAAACAAATTATTATAATGCTATCATTGGTGTGACTTTGTAAGATTGCAACGATTGCAATTTTCTATCTTAGAAAGTGGGTCTAGTCCCTCCAGAAATCTGAACTTTCATCATTTTAAAATAGTAAAATTCAAAAATTTCAGATTTCTTACAGTTCAAAAGTCAAAAATTCAAAAATTCTGAGAATTATAAATTATAAAATTTCAAAATATCAGAATTTAAAGTTTTTAAAACTTTAAAATTATTTACAAAATTCCAAATTGCAAAACTACCTGATTTCCAATATTACAAAATTTCAGAATTCACATTCGTCTCTGTTTTTTCATTCTAGAATTACAACTTTGTGTTGTTACTTTTTATTATAGTTTCAGAAACGTCGGTAACAAATTAAAATTATAATTTTAAATTCCGCAGTTAATTTTATTTACTTAATTGTGTATCCATTGTTGTTCTTATATAGAAGAAAGGGTTCCTTATA